CAGACTTGAGGAACTTGCTGGCCTCTAAGGAAGGCTCAGGTTTTTTCTTTAAGAAGGACTTGGCAGACACTCCATCCTCACCTTCCTCTGCATCGCTGTCAGAAGACGAGCCTTGTGGAACAAATATTAGGATGTATTTTAAGCTGGGCATAAACTATGATTTTAGAAACATTCTTGCTTAATTCAAACAGCTACTGTAAGACTAAATCATCTTTGATGTAAAGCCAAAGCTCACGATTTTTGTGTTCACACTGTAAGAGGTGCCAGCGTCTTATGGACTCACAGGTGGCTAGGAAGACGTGGACAGTATGGTTTGTCCATTTTACATTGAGAATCTGAGGTACTGTAAACTAGCTACATGTTACTGTTTTACTGTAGCTTGCCCAACATGGCCTCCATATTTTCCGTCCACATGACGTAATCATAATGTCTTAACATTCACCTGTGATCGTAATACATAATTTAGCTCTGTACGTCTGCTACAGAATCCCGATCAACCTTCTGGTCTACTCTCATGTTAGGCTCAACACTTAGCAGCTTGTTTATTTTGTTGTAAATCTTAAGAGTTCTTGTGATTTCAAAATAAAAACATATGACAGCAAGCTTACCAGAATCCCCAGGCTCCTTCTCCTCCTCTTCATCTGCAGACTCCTGTGGGTTCTAGCAGAGAGACAAAAGACAGATTTTATTTTGTCCTTTGTTTGTCCAGACTGCTGCCTTGCAGAACTTTAAGATCCACTTTTACAGTTCCACTCTGTCACACATGGAAGCTGCCCAGTACAACCACAGTCTGACCTGGTAGCCAATGAAGTGCTCCACTGGCACCTATGTGGTGGTAATGCAGAATAGACAAGAGCTCTTCTTTTACTATCAAATATAGATTCATGTTACACTTTGAAACAGCCCCACATGACTGATTTCAATCAAAAAGTGTTGTTAATATCTCTTAACTATCACATACATACATTTCTGTATGTTTTCAACCACAGGACCACTGAAAGGTTCCTATTTACCTCCTTGTATGCAGCTATTTCTGTTTCGTAATCTCTGTTGTACTTGCGGATCTTCTGACGTAGTGTACTGAGGGCTTTCGCGTTGTTTTTGTTCATCTTCTTTTTGCCCTCTTTGTCCTCCCAAAGCTGGAAAGAAATAAATATTAATTATTTTTAGAAAAGTGGGGACTGGGATATTAAACAAGCCAGACTGCATTAACCAACCTAAATATACTTGTTCGTATCTTTAGAGTTTAACTCTGGAATACTGACCTGGTTCAGGTAGTCTTCCAGGTCGGCCAGAAGACGGATATAGAAAGGGGGAACACCCTCTTTGTCCACTATATTCTTGCTTTTGAGGAATGCTCGGCATAACTGCTCAAACTCCTCCAGACATTTGGCCATGTCACGAATCTTCATAGCATTGCGGATAGTCTTGATGAGGTTGGTCAACTCCTCAAACCTAAGATTGAATAATGAGGGTATTAAAAGCAAAACCTGATGAGACAATCTTCAGTTTTTAAGATATGCTGCTTAAAAAAAAAGAAGCCACACCAACCTTTTGTCTTTGGCGCTGCGCACCACTCTCTTAGTGTCCTCCTCATCATCACTAAGAAGCAATGACCTGTGAAAACAACGTAGATGTGTGAGACTACCACGTAAAGTGGAATTTGAGTCAGCATAATGGGATTTATTGTGAATTGCACTGACTGCTTGAAATTTGTCCCGGGCGCTTTAGGAGTGATCTCATCGGCGGATGAGGACTCTTCTGACTCGCTGTCAGACCCGGTGGCAAAGAAACGAGACATTGTTGAAGGAAGCTCTCAATCTGTAAAAACAAAATTACACATGGGATTATTTCTACGCATGGTAGCATCTGTCTATATCTGTGCAGGGCTGCAACTAATGATTATGTTCATTAGCAACTACTCTGCCAACTGTTTTCACGTTTAACTGTCTACTAAATGTCAAGAAATTGGGCTCTGGAAAATTGTGATGAGCATTTTTCACAAAGTGACAACCTCAGGTTGCTTCTTTTTTACCAACCAACAGTCCAAAACCCAAAGACTCTTCATTTACTATGATAAATGACAAACAATAGCAGCAATTCCTTACATTTAAGAAGACGAAACCAGCATGTTTCACATTTTTGCCTTTAAAAATGAAACGATTGATCCATAATCAAAATAGTTGTTGATTAATTCTCTTTTGATCGACTAATCATTGCAGCTCTAATTTGTGATAACTTATATAACATGTGAACATTTAGTGTTATAGAAAAACACTTCCACATCCCTATAATTAATCTGATGTAAGTGAAAACTACATTTTCTAGTCATTTAATCAGTTCGTTACCGATGCTCATGAAGGCAAGACTGTGGCTCAGTTAAAAATGAGCTCCCAGTTCAGCAGGAGGATTTGAACTGTTCCATTAAATTTACTGCAACACAGCACTGCAAACACACAACTGGAAAAATAACGTCTCTCAGATGGTTAATGGAGTAATGGAGACTGTAGTATACGTACGTTAAATAAACACAACATCGCGACGTTCGTTAAACTAACGTTAACTATAACCGTTATTTGGCTAACCAACGTTAGCTAACTCACACTGTCACAATGCGACAACTAGCCAATAAGAACCTGGTGCTTGCCTCATTAAGCGACGATAGTGCACACTTTAACTAACTCAGACATTGTTAACATGTTAATCTAGCATAGCATATAGAGTGTTTTCAGTAAAGATGTAATTTTAGTTACTTTTCCAGACTGAAGTGAATGTGGAAACGTAGAGAAACTGGTAGAGTTAAAACCTGCTTGTGTAACGTTACGTTACGTGCTATGCTAACTTACAACCTTTACTTAGCTAACGCTATCATAGCTTTGACAGATTACAAGAACCGAACTCCACGTCACACGTCTATGACAGAATGTTTTTACAGATTAATCAAAATGTAAACACATACCGAGGTATTTCGGTTAACAAGCTACCGCTGATGTATATCTTGATATTACAACGCGAACACTAGCGTGGCGCGGGGCTGTTGCTAAGCTAATACTAGCATCAGCCGAGAGAGCACCGGGCCTCCCACCATGTGTAGCCAGTAAATACATGTAGCTAATGAACATTCACACATAGTTTAATTAAATATTGAGCCAGACCCACCTACGTCCGTGTGAAAGGTATCCGGCGGTTTGTCTGTCTACTCTGAATAGGTATAAAATCCAGTTTTGCTGAACAGCGGCCGCGAATAAAGGCGTGCGACAGGATTGCCGGGCACTTGCGTCAGAAAAGGAAGTGAACTGTCGATCGACAAAACACGTTTTTTTTTTTGAGGTGAATATTTACAACAGTATCTGGCATCACCAAATATCAGTGCTAAAAGGAAACGGAGCATATACGCTTTAGGAAGAAGAAAATAAAATAAAAGAGAAGAAAATATGTACATAATAGTACAAATAAAATACAAAAAAAGGATAAAGAAACAGTAGTAGTTATGGGGCTTCAGATAATTTTAAGGCATCAATAAAATCAATAAGTTTTTTTGCTGTTTTCGTGAACAACAGGGACTTGTAGTATAATGCAAATTCTTTCTTGAAGACAGTAAAAAGAGGCTTTGTTTTCAAACATTTACATTTGTGGATGAAAAAAAAAGCAGTTTAAAAGCAGTTCATAGTTTTTGTCCTTCATTATAATTCCAAATGTGATGTTAGAGAGAGACTGGAGATAAGGTTCCAGTCAATCATACATGTCATACCAAAATGATCCCGTGGTCTCTATGTCCTCATCACAGAATATACAGTTAGTTATGTTAAATATATGTGAGAGGAGATCTCTTGGAGGATGTATGCCATTAAATACTTTGAAGTGAAGCTCTTTAGCTTTTGGTGATAAAGGTAACTTTAAGAAATTTGTGCGTAGTTTATCGACAAAACATGGTCTACCGCAGGTTTAACTCTGCGACAGGATCCCTGTTTATGTTATGCTGCCTCTTAGCGGGCGAAAATGTAAGTTTATCCGGCGTAAAATAATCTATTATGTGGGCCATTGTCATTTCAGCAACAAGGCATTTCAACATAGGGAAATGTATAAAAGACATTCAAATACATTTTTAAAATAGAAAATAACAGATTAAAACAGGACAGTAAAGGTTCTAGTGCTGTGTGAGACATTAATCAAAAGTTTTCAATTTGATTTAATAAAAAAGCAGTGGTACATGAGAAAAGTCTTCAGTCTTGATTTAAAAGAACTGAGTTTCAGCAGACCTGCAGTTTTCTGGGAGTTTGTTTCAGATACATGGTGCATAAAAACTGAAAACTTCTCCATTCTGGGGGCATAAAGCTGTCCCATACAATGTGAGAGGTCTGGATGGTTCATAACGTAGCAGATCATCAGAAATGTATTTTGGCCTTAAACTATTTACATCAGTATTTTGAAATCACTTCTTTGACAGACAGTAGCCAGTGTAAAAACCTCAGTGAGGACTTGATTAGCAGTGTCCTGAATCAGCTGCAGCTGTCTTTTTAAGACCTGTAAAGACACCTTTACAGTAGTCAAGTTGACTGAAGATAAAAGTATGGACAAGTTTGTTCAGGTCCTGCAGAGTCCTTTAATCCTTTGTATATTATTCAGGTGATAGTAGGCTGACTTTGTAATTGTTTTAACATGGCTGCTGTAATTCAGATATGAGTCCATGACTACACCAAGATTTCTGGCCCAGTTTGTGGTTTTTAACATTGTTGATTTAGCGTATTATTCTTCCTTTGCTGCAAAAACAATTACTTCAGTTTTATTTTTAACTGAAGAAAGTTCTGGCACATCCAATCGTTGATTTGTTCAATGCAGTTACTCAGCGCTTGTATGGGATGATAGTGGTGAAATGGTTATGTAAATTTGTGTGCTGTAATTATGGTAAAATTTAGTTTTTTATAATCTAAGCCAAATAGTCAAAGACAGATTTGTAACACAGGAGATTTTAAAATGTAATGCACAGTTAACACTTCAGATGATTCACAGCACATTTATTTAAAAGCAACTTTATTATAAACATTTTTAAATTGCATGTACTAAATAGAAAGTATTTTGAGTGTAATAACACGTAAGCAACAATCATTGTTCCCCCTCTTGTGGACTCCTCTTCAGCAGCTCTAGAAACAAATAAAAGAGGAAAATTACATTAATAACAAACACACTCCTCCTCGTGTCATAGCAGGCTTCATTTTTTATTGTCAACACAGGATTGGTGTGATCTTTCCAAAGCACATTACTTCAGAAGGACTGTGGTCTAGTCTGGCTTTTTTGTCTCCCTCTTAGAAGTACTCCAACCAAGGTTGTGAGAAACTTGGGTGTCATGATTGATGATCAGCTGTCCTTTTCAGACTATGTTGCTACTGTCTTCTACTGTCGCTTTGCTCTATACAACATAAGGAAACTCAGGCCCTACCTCACTCAGTACGCCACCCAGCTTCTGGTACAGGTCATGGTTATCTCTCGCATCGACTATTGCAATGCCCTCCTAGCAGGTGCGGTGAAACCCTTACAAATGGTTCAGAACGCAGCAGCGCATCTGGTTTTTGATCAGCCCAAAAGTACTCATGTCACTCCATTACTCAGTGACCTCCACTGGCTCCCCGTGGCCTCCAGAATCAAATTCAAGTCAATAATGCTTGCACACAGAGTGACTACTGGGTCTGCACCCATCTACCTAAACTCCATAATACAAACTTACGTTCCTTCTCGGCCGCTACGCTCCTCCAACGAACGCCGCCTGGCTCTGCCATCCCTTCACACAAAGCAATCCCAGTCCCGGCTATTCTCATCTGTGACACCACGATGGTGGAACAAGCTACCACACGCCATCAGAGCAGGGGCGTCCCTCTCCAACTTTAAGAAGCTCTTGAAAACTCATCTCTTCTGAGAACACTTCCTCTTATAACACCTCTAACTCCTAACCTCTAACATGCACTTCCTGTGCTCTTCTTCTATCCCCTACAATGATCTTGTATTGATTGCACTTTTTGTTAACGCTTACTTCCTTCCCTAGGTATCTACCCCATTTATGTGATATGTACTATGACCTCTTACTAGTATTTACTGCTGCTCTTACTAGTATGTATTGTCAGTTGTCGATCTGTATTTGATGCTCTGTTGATGTTTATATGTTGTTCCTCAAATGTAAGTCGCTTTGGATAAAAGCGTCTGCCAAATGAGTAAATGTAAATGTAAGTAGGGTCTTCCTGGGTCTTCTAATATAATCCCCAAAATGATCTGCGTGAATGTTACATTATTTTAATAAAATGCAAGGGTAGCAATATTTTTGCACACGTTTGTACAGTAAATACTGTATGTGTATGCATAATGAAAACCGACCTGAGGGTAAAAAGTGCTGATCTTTCGTGTGTATAAAAACATTGCAGCATGTCGTTTTCTAAATAGTTTGCAATAAACAACAGTGACGAGTCATCCCTGATTTAAGTCTCCTTATTTCTTCGGACTGAATTCGGAGTTGCTGTTCATGCGCAACACATTTGGCACCCTCTGCAACACAATTAATCATTCCATTGTTATTTTAAACGACTAAAAAAATGGATCAACTTATGTCAGAATTGCTTTGATCAAATAACTTTAAATATTATGATTAAACAGAGGACATTTTTAGTTGAGAAAAACTAGTGGCAGCAAGTGTTGGGAAATTTGTTTTGACATTTTGTGGGTTTTATGAGAATTAAACTGGGGGCGTCTTACCCGATATTACCATAATAAGCAGGTAAAATCATCTCCCATAAAAGAAACCGCCTCACGCCCAGCTCTGTGGAAAACTGACTTTTAAATAAAAAAAAAAAAAAAAATGTTGTCTCTATTATCTAAAGTCAAAAAACAAATAACACAAGCACATTTACATCATAACCATCTCCCTTGTTTCCACGTTCCCTTTTGCCTCTGTCATTGTATCATAAAGATAAGACACCATATTAATGGACACCATATAAACAATAGCAATAAACTCAAATGAAAAAAAATCATCAAAGATCAAACATTTATTTCAAAGATCAAACTCCAGTGAGGAGTCATACCTGATTTCAGTCTCCTTATTTCTTCAGACAGAATTCGGAGTTGCTGTTCATGCACAACACATTTGGCACATCCTGCAACACAATTAATCATTACATCATTAGGTTTCCAAATAATACTGTAATAATATCTTCCTCTTTTTATTTTCTGTCCATCAGACTTGTATTTGTGAGAACCAAGAACTTCCCTATCTTACTCCTGCTTCCTCCAGCCAGCCAGCTATGTTGTCACGATGGTGCTAGTGCAGTTCAATTCAAAGTTCCTTATATTTTTTCAATACTTGGCCAATAAAGCATATTCTGGTTCAGTTAGTATAAAACCTGTTTATTTTGGCACCTCAGCACTACCATCTTACCGTGGCTTTGGGGTTTAGGTGGAACAGCTCTATGGCTGGTTAGAGGCTGTTTCAGGGCTCTGGCTCTGGTAACAGTATTGCAAGATGTTGACGTTTCAGCAGCAATGGCTGGCACCGCAGCATCTGAAAGCATATGACAAAGAGCAGGTACAAGAGCATGTATTTTCTATTGGCAGTGAGCTTCCGCGCCATGTTGTGCCATGGGCGACTCCGTTTTGGCCGCCTGCTGCGCCTTGCGTTTCTGAATGAGCGCTCTGAGCACAAGGAGTTGAAAAAAATTCAATTCGTGCCCGACGGCATTCGCGCTCCCAAACTTCAGATGGCCAAAAGCGAGATCTCTTAGATGCCGCTTGTTCCTTGGGTGAATCCCTGGTTGCAGGCAAGTAAGTGTATGCCTAGTGTTTCCCATTAATTAATGAAGCCATGGCGGCCCGCCATAGTCTCTTAAAATCCTGTGGGAGACACTGATGCCTATTTACTGACTTTCCAGTACTTTGCAGTTTTCAAACACTACATTACAATGAACAGTTAAGGTGTTTTTAGTTAGCTTTGTGAAAGTATTAATCATGTAGTACTTAGAAATGCTAAAGAAAAATTAGCTCTATGATTAAAGAATTCCTTTGCAGCAACTCAGTATTTACCGATTTTTTTCTTCTTTGCTATTGGCAACGCTTCACCTCTTTTTAAAGGGTGCTTCTTTGCCGTGGTCACATGGTTCGTTGCTGTTTGTGTATAAAGAAGGAGAAAAAAAACAACAATTAATATCAAGAAAGCAACATTGTTGATTAAGTGCAAATAATACTTCACACAGGCTCTCAAGTAATCATTAATTGTCAAAATAAAAATAAACCCTTCAAAATGATTATCATAAGTGAATGGTTTTAGCCACTAAAATAAACTTTTTGTTTGAGACCTGTTTCAAGGTAACCTGTTAATTTTCACTCTGTTGTCACTTAGATGGCAACTCTGCTTTTCTCTTTTTGGTTTAGTTTCTTCAAGGCCAGACTGAATGTCAGTGCAGCATTTGAAAGGAGGAAGTATCAGACTTTAATAATGTGGCACAATATACATATTTGTTGGACAGTTAAATGCGTAGCCACATAAACATCGGCTCGCCACATCACATTTAACAAAAATCAAACAGTACTCTCATTGTGGCTTTTCTTGCTATCGGTTTCTTTTTGTTGGTTTACTTGTTTATTATTGGAGCTCAGAAATACAACTGTATAGGAATACCGAACACATTTACAGCAAGACCTAATTTGAACTTAAAATTACTGCTAAATTAATGTACATTGATTTTCCATATTTGAAATTGAATATCAGAATAAACAGTCAAAGTCTACAGCCTGACTGCTGTACGAGAACCTGTTGGTCCACGGAGCTGGTTAGTGCCTGAACAAGACGGTGCGTTGCTTCTTGCTAAAGGCGGCCTGAGACCTGTTGCAGCTCTCTGGATGCCTGAAGATGGTATGTCACTCGACTGCGGTTTTCGCAAGCCAGATATTGGCTGCTTGGATCCTAACATTGGCACAGAGGGAAGACAATGTGGGTAGTGGACAATGTGGATAATGTGCGCACAAACACAGACACCCCCATTCAGAGGACATTATACTGTACATAGAGTAGCTAAAAGAAGGACTGAAGAATAGAGAAAGAAAATCCTCTGTAAAATCAAACAAAAACATTGTCTAAAAATATTACATGAAACAATTTTTTACCATTAGTTCAGAGTGCTTACAATTGTCAATCTCATTCCATATTAAATGATTCACTGTCAACATTTATGAAGAATAAAACAGAATACACAGTGCCTACCTGTTGTTGTAGCACGTAAGTTGTAGGAGTTTGATATTCCTGTAGTCTTAAATACAACAGAGAACAGAGGATGTCATCAATAGACTGCAATCAAACATGAAGTCAATGACTGTGTATTCAGTCGTCTGGTCTCACTCATAAAAAAGTGGATTTAACAGATGAAACTGACAAGTGCAACAAAGTTCATGGGATCCATTTCATTAAATAGAAGGTGCTGTCACATTTTGTAGTATGGATTACAAAATGAAATGTAATATTCAAATCCTACCACCTGGGGTGCATCACAAGCAGCAGTATTTCTCAACCCTCCGCCTTGTGTTCTATGTCTTGTCATGGGTAGGCCTGATGTGAGCAGCTCAAACCGTCCTGGAAGTGATGAGGCTGGCTTGTATTTCAACAACTGGGACGCAGCTTTCGAAGGAGGCAAAAGGGATTTGGCAGTGGGTTGCGTCAGGAATGTTTTTCGATCGCAGATTATGTTTGATGGGGCATCTGATTGCACCTGACCATCTTGCTCACTGTTGCCATCCCCATACAGTTTCTTCTGTGCCCCAATGGATTTGCTGTCGTCACATTCAGTGGTGAAGTTGAGCAATTTACAGCTAGTCATTGGTGTTGAAGTAATCAAAGAGTCTGTCTTTAACTCTAGGGTATCATCCCAACTGAATGTGTCTGCTTTGTTGTTGTCTGTATCCATGCTTTGATGGCCTAAATTGTCAGAAAGACCCTCTGTCATAGGCAGATCTGATTGTGAATGATCCTTAGTTTCAAGTCGACCGGCTCCGGAAGCTACAGCTGGATTAAATTCAAATGTGCTATCAGGGGTGTCACCCACCTTGGCATCAGGGTCTGTACTATCTGTTGTCCCATTATGTTTTGACAGGTTAGTAGGGTGGACTTCCAAACTGTTTTCTTTAGGGCTACTCGTTGCATTACAGCCCTTGGGAGGAGAGAGCTTGTCCAAAGTGTTCTGGTGACTGTCACTTGTTGAGCTTGTTTCTGACAAAGTTATTGTGCCATTCTGCTGAGAAGGTTTAGTATCGAAAGTATTGTTCTGGGGGCCAAAGGTTGTAGCACCAGCCTCTATTGAAACTGCGTTCTCTCTGGATTTTTGAAGAGAATTTTCTGAATCGAAAGTGCCGTTCTTAACGTCACATGAACCACTTGCCTTTACAGCTGAGCAATTTTGCTTCATATGGGGGAAAGTTTCAGTGGTGTTCTTAGAGACTGAAGTAGCCTGATCTGTAGCGTCACTCTCCACTTGGGGTGTCTTCACATTAGAGGGGGGAAGGTCCAGTGTCTTACATTGAGGGCATGGTATTTCAGCAGTAGCATTTAAATTGGTGGGGGCACTTGGATTGGAGGGAGGGACAATGGTAAATGTGTTCACAGACCCAGCTGGGCTTGGCTGTGTCACCTTGCTGTTCAACTCAGAATCATGGCTTTTGAGTAACTCTTCATTGTTTGCTTTTGTGGTATCAGAGATCACCACAGGTTCATCGTGAAGCTCAGAAGTGACATTCTTTGAACTAGTGTCACACTGCATATCAGAAGTAGACAGCTGTGATGCAGGACACTGCACAGACAAGTCAGTAGAGGAGTTTATGTCGTGAGTGACGTTAACAAGATGGTTACTAAGTGAGTCCTCAGCTGATGTTTGAATCTTCACCATTTTTTGTCCACTTGTTTCCAATGAGCGCCTGCTGTTTTCTAAAACACTGTCCATAGAAATATCCCGAGTTCCTTCCAAGGTAGCCTTCATTATATTCCCCCCCACACTCTTCGGATCAGAGTCTTCACCAAAGGAGCTTAAGGTGCAGGTGACATTGCCATCAATAGTACTTGAAAATTCTTCACTCTGAATCATCTCCAATCTGGCAGGTTCTGCCACAAGTTGCACACAGAGCTCTGAGGAAGGCATGAGGTTTTGCACGCCTTCAACAAGTGAAATATCCTGTTTGACCTCCATGGAGGATAATTCCACTCCTGGCGATAGCTCTGAATCATGTGTAACATGAAGGAGAGTAATTTCTGGGAATAATTTGTCATCCAGCCAGTGCTCAGGAGCATCTGTGCTCTCGTGAGGGGCAACTATCTCCGCATCAGAGTCTGTATTAGCTGTTGACTTATGATGTTTTGACAGTTCAGGAGGGTGGTCTTCACATTCCTTATCAGCTGAACTAGGCTGGAGGGTGGAAAATGTGCTGTTCACAGACCCAGCTGTTACAGGCACTCCGTCTGGAAGAGGTGAATCAAGTCTAGTCACTTGCATCATGGAGTCATATGTATCATCAAGGAGGGTGATTTCTGGCAAGCATTCGTCATGCAGCCAGTACACAGGAGAATTCGTGTCTCCTAATGACTGGCCAAAATGGCTACTGGGGAAATCTGAGTTGGGATGTTGGCTAGAACCTCCAGTTGATTTTTTACCATTTGTGGTACAACTTAAAGAAAAACAGGAACCAGACAGATTAGAATTGTTTCCGTGTTTTAAAGGCTCTGGTGACAAACCTTTATTGCGAATATTTAAGTATTTTAAAATTGGTGTTAAAGCAGACTGGAGACCAGAGATCCGTGACTTTGCTTTGACTCTACCATGGCTGCTTGTCAGAGCTGGGGTTGAAAAGGTGTGGGTGTCAGAGAGAGGCTCATTTTCTCCACTTGGCTGTGTAAGGGAAAATCCTACCACATCTCCTACTTGGACCTTGAGTTTTGAAGTCCCAGCTGCAGCAGTGACTCCGGGGGGAATATTTTCATCAGCCTCATCAGAGGTTTGCACAGGTGTCTCAGTAGCCATGATAGTTAGATGGTTTATCTTTTGCTTCCACACTAGGAAAACCGGATTTTCTTGTTTTGTTTTTGAGACAGGGCACACTACTCAGAAGTTTCAGGTGTCTTCTCAGATTCTCCGTCTGCAGCCTGTGGATTACAAGATGTAATTAATACAGAACATTTTTACATTTAAACGGAGTAGATATTTAGATTGTGCTAAGATGCCATAATTACTGAAAGCTCCGACATCAAAATGGCTTTACCACTGGTGTGGGTTTGTGAAGCACAAACTAATCTTAGTGAAAATGGCGAATGGCCACAAAAAACAATCACTCTGAATTATAAAATAAAGCCAAACGATGACCACGGAGCTGTGTCATCCAATTCCATCATGTAATTTAGCACAGAAAGTATATTTTTAAGTCCATAAGCACGTAACGTACTGGGGCTGTTTGACAAGTAAGTTAACGTTAACGAACATCAATTTAAGTTAACATTACGTTAACGTTAGTTCGATAGAAAACAAATTAGACAGACGTTAGCTAACAGATACATCGTAATTTCAAAGTTCTCAAAATTAGCAGAATCACAGACGGCGCAGTTAACTTATAACGTTAAGTTATTGCACAACACGGCCGTTTCAAACGATGTTGTTTTTAGCTAATGTTAGATTGATAACGTCAGTTAGTTGAACGGAAACAACTTTTGCTTACCTATCACAGCGGGCATTTCTCACTGGGGAGTTTATGTTCGTAAAAATATTTGCTGAATGAAACACGTATCGACTAACGTTAATTTTGACATCAACAGAGAGGCAGAGTAGCATAAAAAATTCTCATTAGACAACTACTGGAGTGCCGCTTTGGTTCAAAATGTCAGTTTGCCTCACATGCATTGGGTAGATCCATCCAATCACAGTTGAAAGTTTCTTTTTCGTGTATTTTAGAGGGCGTGACGTCCACACATTGGGCAATACTGCCATCTACTGTTCAGTTAAAACTACATAGAAATACATGCCTTTCATCTCTGTCCTCCGAAAGGTTGAAAATACTCTTTATGAAAATTATTACAGAACATTTGATTGTTTCTGTCAGTCATTATTGTATTATAATTGTTAAAACAATTCTACTTCGTATTTCAATTTCCCAGATCAATTTATAGACGTTAGCTTTGCTTTTTGTTCAGTGTAATGACAATACAAATACTAACTTACAAAATAAAATTACAAATGCACATGCTTCCATGCAAAGAACACAAAGGTTTACTGAATAAGTATGAAAATCATGTCAGTCATATGCTGTAGCCTTCAAAGTCACTAGATCTCAAGCCCAATGTGTCTCCACCACCATCATCAAGAAGGCCCAGCAGAGGATGTACTTCCTGCGCCAGCTCAGGAAGCTCAACCTGCCTAAGGAGCTGCTGATCCACTTCTACACAGCCATCTGCTCATCCATCACTGTCTGGTTTGGATCTGCCACCAAAAAGGACAGTCAGGACTGCAGAAAAGATCATCGGTGCCAAGCCAATCTGCCTTCCATTCAGGACTTATACATTTCCAGAGTCAGGAAACAGGCAGGAAACATCACTGCAGATCCATCTCACCCCAGACACAACCTGTTCCAACTGCTGCCCTCTGGTAGGCGCTAATGAGCACTGTACGCCAAAACCAACAGACTCAGGAACCGTTTCTTCCTAACAAGCCATCACTCTTATGAACAGCTGACTCTGACTCACAATGTCAGGAACAATTCCTGTGCAATAACCCAGCAACTCTGCCTCCATTCAGCCACCTGTTTACTGGCTACCACTTATCATTTATTTATTCATCATTCTCTGTTTCAGAACAGTTATTACTGTTCAAATTGTCATATTGTATATTGTATATACTGTATACCAAATCCTCCTACCTCATATACATAACACCGCACATAATACTTATTTATTCCAGCATTCTTTGCACTCATTACACTGTGTACATGTATGCTTGCACCTGTATATCACATCCACCTCCAACATGTACATAATAATAACAATAATGGTAGTAATAATTTACTCCTGCATCCTTTGCACTCTGCTCAATGCACTATTGTTTAAATCTGTCTGTTTTGTTTATAGTGTGTATATATGTGTTCTCTATTTACTGTATAATTGTGTTATTGTATTATTGTATAAGTAAGCACATCGTGAGCATTGTACAATCCAGAGTCAAATTCCTCGTATGTGTACACATATCTGGCGAATAAAGCTGATTCTGATTTTGATCATCAAAACACAGGAATTTCAACAACTGCGATTCAGCTTTCAATAGAGGCAAAAGGGATATAGCAGCAAATTGCGCAAGGAATGTTTTTTGATTACGGACGATGTTTGATTGAACGTTTGATTGCACCAAATCACTGAAGCCTGGTCTGGAGGCTCATTGTGGCCAAACTCTTGGTATGTATTTCCTTTTGTCACCCATCTGCAGGACAAATGTTAAAGTGAGATTTAAAGGAATATCCACTGTTGACGGTAATGCAGGCCCAAGACTGTAGAAATCACTTCACTCACACTAACATAGCGCTGTTTATTAATTCCTTCAGTCTCAGTCATTTTATTTTTGTATTTGCTGCTCCCTAAGCAGATGACTTCAAAAATGGATCTTTTTCCTCTATTGTTTTAGTCTATTATTGTTAGGCTGATTAAGATTCGATGCTATTATGATTGTGTTTGCTAAGAACCCAGCATAGCCGGGTATTAACTATGTTTGTACAGGGAAATGCCATTCCATTTACATTGAGGCTTTATTACAAAAGTTATACATTGGCCACGTAATTGTCACAATGAACCTTTCATCACTGTAATCAGTTTGATATACACAACAAAAATAAAGCAATTTATATTTTACATTGAGATATGAACACAAAGCATTTTCTTCCATCTTCTTCTCACTCTTTTGTGGTTTTCTTCAGTTTGGTCTTCAGTTCAGACATAAGTGGATTTCCAAATCTAAGGACACATGGGAAAACTAAGTATCAGAAAATGACACAAAAGAACACATGATGCTGGTAATAATATTGTCAGACTTTACTTTACCCTGGATGTCTTGGTGGCATCCATTTAGGTTTGTGTTGTGCCTCCTCTTGCTTGGGAGTGTCACTCTCCTCTGGCTTTGTCTCAGGTTCCTGTTGATACTGCGCCATTTTAATAATGTACATATCTCAACATAAGAGAAAAGTGTTATTTAAAGATTATTAATTGTACCTGTGGGAGGGTTTCCTGGCTATTCTCATCTCTTGCCACCTGTCGCGTCTTTTTTAAAACAGGAAAACCTGCACCAAACCCTAAAAAACAAAATTGTGTGATTGTTTACAGATTATGAAATATAACTGGACATTAAAGACTCAAGGTAGTGGCTTTCCATATATTATTAAGTGACCTACCAGGCAGCTTTATTCCAATGCCCAAACCTCCCAAAGGCACACCTGGAGGGACTTTGACTGGCAGATGTGAAGAGGGTGTGGGATCCACTGAGGGCATATGCAGCAGGGAGCGGGGATCTTTGGGGGGCCTTACACGACGGTTTTTAACAGCAATTCTTGACCTTTGCGCAGTAAAGTCCAGCACAGAGGCATCGACCTGCAATGACTAAAAGAGCTGCAGTTACACCATCTCTGTAGGTTATGAATACTGTCCGATTTTATTTATGATTTTATAGATTTTTAGGGTTAATAAAATTATATATATATATACCTCCATCTGATTTTCAGACTCTGTCGTTGGCACCCCAGCCCTGTTCAGTCCAGGAAATGAGTCAGCAATGTCTTCTGACCATCCGGGCTGTGGTTTGTCCAGCGAGGGCAACTTCAATAACTTCTCAGAATCGGTGCAAGTGTCGCCTTGTGAAACCGATTCTGTCAACACATTTCCCTCCACTGACGAAGTCTCAGAGCCACTTATAGTTTGTCCTGTTTCAGTGTGTTTGATTTCATCTGGAGAATCACACGGAGTAATCTCGAGAGGCTCATCTTTGAAAGGAGCGCTCATTTCTGTTAGTGACTTAACATCTGCCTTTTCTGTGTCTTTCCAGGCATCATCCCATGCCAAATCTGTTATCTCAGCCTTAATCTCTTTCCGTGATCCAGTTTCAGTCTCCACTGTTTCAACTCTTTCTTGTGATTTATCCAATTCTTGGTTTGGATGTTTAGCCTCTGATGTAACTCTTGAATCAGGGTGAAGCACATTTGATTGCCCTGTCGCAGCCATTTCCCCCATCAATGAATCCTGAGATCCAGAGTTAACCTGTTGTTTAGACAATTCAGAGATGTCTGCTGATTCTGACATATTAGCCAACAAGTCATATATGCCTTGAAATGACCCAGTGCTAGTTGATTTCAATAGCTGAGTTTCATTGTTTTGTGTGCCCCATTCACTGAGAGACTGGTCCAAAAATCCAGACTCTACTGTTGATGAAGACATATCTGTGTCACTCACTACTTCAGACTTCTCTGAACATGACTCCACAAGCAGCTCTTTATCTTTCTCTGTCTGCACTGATGAGATTCCATCTTGTTCCTCATTTGACGGCTCTATTCCCATGTCTATTCGTTGTCTACTGACTTCTTGTTGTTTTATGCCATCACTGTCCTCTGGCAATGCCGTCTGTAGCCATAAGTCAAGGATTTCTTCATTGATCACATCTTGACGTCCACTAATTGAGCTAACCATTTCTTCAGCGTGACTCCCCTCTGACTCTGTCACATTTGCCATATCATCTGTTGATATTCTAGTCAAATCTTTTTGTTTGGACTTGGTTGTTGTTGATACATGAGTTACTTCTACATCTGTTAACACCTCGTCGTTGCTTATCTCAAGTGTTTTGTCTGATATTAGATTTCTTGTCTCTAGTGACTCCACTGCTCTATACAACTCAGATTCTGCTATCAAAGAATTTTCTTTATCGTTCCTTCCTGTGGTTAGCTCAGCTGCCATTCCTGTTACCTGCAGATTTAACATTTCCACATCATTTTTGTTCTGCATTTCATTTTCTGCTGCATCCTCCTCAACTGCATAACCCGTTTCTTCCATGTCTATCCCCGCATCTTGCATTTCTACAGCACTATCTTCAAGTAGGTTAGGTTCACTACCCTCTGACTGTTTCTGGAATCCAGATTCAGTTATGTCGTCTAGTAGAGAAAGTGTCATGTTGCTGTTTTGCTCTGAGTTTATGGCATCTACCGACTCCTGAAAGAAGTTTGTCTCTGTCATCCTCTGTACTTCTGTTGCTGCAGCTCCTGTGGTCTCATGCCCCGCAGCGGCCTCAGCTTCTTTGGAATCACATAGGCCTTCATCTATCTCAAATTCAACCAAAAGCTCTTCAGTCCCGTCTTGCAGCTCTTTTGTTGTCTTGTCAGCCTCATCTCTTAAGCCGAATTCCGTCTCAAATTCCTTCTCTGAGTGTTCGACCCCCGTCTTCATTGAGTCAACCGACAACTTTTCTTCCTCTTCCTCAAAGAAAAGTCCTGACTCTTGAATGACAGGTTCAACAAGTGGTTTCTCCGTTTCTTCTTTCTTTCCTATGTCACTGGAGAGCCTCTCCTCTTCTAATTGACATTCATCAAAAAATCTCCCATCTCCTGAAATCTCTGTTGTTGTCACATCTGAGTTTTCTGTTTCAAGATCATCTGTTTCTCTTGTTTTGGTTTGGACTTCAGTGTCCTTAGCCACATCCTCTTCTTTTTCTCCATATGTGAATTCATCTGTGTGCAGCTCTGTTTCAGCATTCTGCCCAATTTTTCCCCTGCATGTTAAAATGTCTTCTTCTTCACGGCCTTCTGTAACTGTTTCAGTGTCTTCCTGCTCCAGCACTTTATCTGCTGTCTGGTTTTTTTCAGCCTCATTCCCATTTTCTTCCCCAATGGCAGCGTCCTGCTCCCTCTCATCCAATGTGCTCTCGTCCTCCTCCTCTTTCGCATCCTCGGCTTTATCACTTTCACTTCTGTGAGCCATCACATGCTCTTGTCCAACAACAGTGAGCTCATCCTCAGGCACAACGCCAACTTTGTTGTGGAGCATTTGTAATTGAGCTTGCAGTGAAGTAAAGCCTGGGTCTCCCTTGAGATCTTGGTTGTCATCAGACAACTCTTCACAGACAGAGAGCTGATTTTCAACTTGCGTTGCTCCTTCTTCAGACTCGTTCTCATTTTCAGAGGCTTGCAGCTCTTTTGTTGTCTTGTCAGCCTCATCTCTTAAGCCGACTTCCGTCTCAAATTTCTTCTCTGAGTGTTCCACCCCCGTCTTTACTGAGTCAACCGACAACTTTTTTTCCTCTTCCTCGAAGAAAAGTCCTGACTCTTGAATGACAGGTTCAACAAGTGGTTTCTCCGTTTCTTGTGGCAATTCAGCATCAGTAAGGCACGGTATTCCTGCATGCTCCTCCACAACCAAATCAAAGCTATTCTTAATATCTTCTGTGCTGTCTTGTTCCTCTTCCATATGCTCCATCACCAGTGAATGGTCAGCTCCACTGTTTTGAAGGGTCTCCGGCTCTTTCCTCTCCACCTCTTCTGGTAATTGGGTGGTCTGGGTTTCCTTGTAAACTCCTACTTCCAGGAACCATTGTGTTGTATTTTCATCTGGCCCAGTCTCATTGTTGCATTCAGGAACTCCCTCTTGTGTTTCCTCGTATGCTGGATAATTTAGCTCCTGCGACACAACAAGCCGGCCTTCACATTTCCCATGGGGAATATTTTGAAACTCTCCGATTATTTCCTGTCCAGTCTCACCTTCAGGCTCAACTGTGGTGGTAGTACATGCTATTTCCATGTAACTTTCTTTCTTTCCTATGTCACTGGAGAGCCTCTCCTCTTCTACTTGACATTCATCAAAAAATCTCCCATCTCCTGAAATCTCTGTTGTTGTCACATCTGAGTTTTCTGTTTCAACATCATCTGTCTCTCTTGTTTTGGTTTGGACTTCAGTGTCCTTAGCCACATCTTCTTCTTCTTCTACATGTGTGAATTCATCTGTGTGCAGCTCTGTTTCAGCATTCTGCCCGATTTTCCCCCTGCATGTTAAAATGTCTTCTTCTTCACGGCCTTCTGTAACTGTTTCAGTGTCTTCCTGCTCCAGCACTTCATCTGCTGACTGTTTTTTTTCAGCCTCATTCCCATTTTCTTCCCCAATGGCAGCGCCCTGCTCCCTCTCATCCAATGTGCTCTCGTCCTCCTCCTCTTTCGCATCCTCGGCTTTATCACTTTCACTTCTGTGAGCCATCACATGCTCTCGTTCAACAACAGTGAGCTCATCCTCAGGCACAACGCCAACTTTGTTGTGGAGCATTTGTAATTGAGCTTGCAGTGAAGTAAAGCCTGGGTCTCCCTTGAGATCTTGGTCATCATCAGACAACTCTTCACAGACTGAGAACTGATTTTCAACTTGCCTTGCTCCCCCATCAGACTTGTTTTCATTTTCAGAGGCCAGCAGTAACACACCATCACTGCTTTGCACTTCCTCATGCATCACCTCTGTATCTGCCTCATCCCTCTGCAACTTTGCCTCTTCTATGTGCATGTCATCCTCTTCTAAACTCAAATCAGAGATTGTATAGAGTTTTACCTCAATGTCTTCTGCCACCAAATCTCGTTCATCTATATGGTGCATTTTATCATCTTCTTCCTTTACTTGGATATTTCCTATGTTTTCATCCCTTTTTTGATGATCATCCGGGGTCATTGCGCTCTCCGTCTCCTCATCACCAGCTCCATCCATTTTCTCCATCTCCTCACTCATTGCCTCACCTGTAAGTCTTAGCGGCCTGGTGCTCACATATTCTTCATACTCATCATTCTCCAGCATCTCATCTTGTCCATGAGTGTACAATCTCCGATCACCATTTTCTTCTTGTTCATCTTCTTTTGCATCTTTAGCGATGGGCAGCCCTGCATCACTACTTTCCTTTTGCGTGAAATGTTCCTCAATTGTGTCCTCACCTTCCTCAGATACTTTGCTCTCACTGCCTCTGCTCAGCTGGACTTCGCACTGTATGCTTTCCTCATCAGGCCCTAAGTCGATGTCTGCGGTGCAAAGTTCCCAGGCAACAGCTGCCCGAGATGGGTTAAACAAAGAGGCTGTCGCAAGAGACTGGTCCTCATCAACTCTCCTTCCGCTAGCCTCACCCTCTGCGTGATTAGCAGGCTCACTCTCAACTGCAGGTTCCTGAGTGGAGTTTGGGTCATTGCTAATGATGTCAGTGGGCTCTGGCCTGAGGAATCTGTTCACAGCTTCGGTTACGTAGTACTGAGAATGATATGGAGAGAAAGAAAGGAAGATGTTTGACTTATTTATGTATTAGTCAACATTTGTTCAATATATGTTCTACATTTTTTACATAATTTGTCTTGTGAAATTGCTACAGTTGATTCAAATAAAGCACCCTTCTTCTCACCTTGTTTTCCTCAACATGCATACCATGTGCATTTGTTGTGTTAGCTTTAAAAATATTCTAAATTATTACACCTAAACTATATCTGCAAAAATATATGTATGTATACATTTATCTTCTTTCACTTTTGGTCTGACGCGTTTTTTATCTTTTGGGATAAAATGAAAAAAGAAAAAAGCAACATAATAAAATGTGGAAAAAGTGAAACACTGTGAATACTTTCTGGATGCACTGCAGTTTCAGTTAGGGGGAATCCTAAAGTTACAGCATACAAGGCTATTTATGAAATAGTATTCTTCGTTGTAGTAACATTTTTCAGAAGGCCCTTTCCTGTTTCAACATGACAATGTTCCCAAACACAATGCAAGGGCAAACAAATGCTAATGTTGAGTAGATATGGGTAATATATTTGCCACACTTAGTTTATATGATGTCAGCTTACTGCACTGTCACCAGGGCCAAAAAAAGTTATTGCATTCATAATTAATGATACTAGTTATACCTCCTGTGAAAAAGGTCTATTCATCCCAGAAGAGTTGAGTCAGGCCTCAAGGCCAGTGTCAAGATCCTCCACACCAAACTCAGAAAACCATTTATGGCCCTTGCTTTGTGTTTGGGAACATTGTCATTAAGCATAGTCATGAAACACGACACTCCTAAATGCAATACAACCATCATCAGTGTTCTTAGTTACATGTGTGTTTTCTCTATAAAGACAAGTGAAAATGTCTACTGAAACTCTTTCTGTGAGCCAGGCCTTAACATCCAGCATCAGTGCCAAACTTCACTACTTCTCTTGTGGCTGGATGAGGGGAAATGTATTCGTTACGTTTCTTTCCTTTACAGGTCCATAAATTCCTAATCATTTCATAGGAAGATTCCTAGAAAGAACTGTCTAATTTGGCATCAGTTATAGACAAAATACAGATAGTGTTCAATTTGTGAAACATCAAATATCAATTCCAAATAAATGCTATAAGCTTGTGTAAGGTCGACTCTTTAAAATCAGTTTACACCAGGTCAGATGATCATGCAGAAATGTACAGTTTGTCTACAGAAAAGTTTGCAAATCAACATCAAAATAAAGTTTCCAATGATGTGTGAATGATGAATAAATGTTTTTTCTTTGTCTCTATTTTCTGTAAAATTAGTGCCAAATTACAGATTTCTTTCTAAAAAAGGTTCCTAAAATTATTAGAAAATTGTGGAGGAAATAACAGACCTTTAAAATAAAGTAAATAACAAATCCCTTACAAAATTCTAAAACCTTTTGGAAAGCAACTTTAGTCACATAGTGATGGGATGCTTGGGTGTCCACATACTTTTGGAACTATAGTGTGGGCTACATTTTCACACCCTGAACAAACTGCTTTGTCAATGCTGTTCTTCATTATTTAAAGGGACATCAATATACAGACAGCATAGGGTGTGTGTGTGTGTGTGTGTGTGTGTGTGTATGTGTGTGTGTGTGCGCGCGCGCGCGCGCGCGTGCAAGAGAGCGAGAGCGAGATGGAGAATAAAGAGATAGAGACTTCGTCTACATTTCAGTGCCTCTAACATTTACAATTACAGCAGATATTTCTTGACACGTTTAGTTTTAGATGATGCAGCGGCTCACCCAAAATGTCCACAAAGTCCTCTCCATCCTGGAAACGGGACTCTCGGGGTCCATCTTCAAAACTTCCTCGGCCTGGACTCTCTGACCATCCGACTTAATTCCCTTTGCGTGTGACCGTGTTGACAAATCAAACCAGCCTGTCTGTTTAATTTCCCAACTCGAGGTTGATCAAAAACTCGACAACAAGCTCCATCCAAACGCGACCAGGTTTGGACATCTCCCCTACAAGTCACAGTTTAGTTCCGTATAATGACATATATGTCCGGTGTATTATTATGAGGAAGAGGGTGATTAACACAGCTCAGTCGCCGGTGCATCAAGCCTACGCGTTGCAGAGTTTGCGGATGTGCGCAGAGCTTCTGATAAGGCAGGACAGTGTGTGTGGTTCCTGAGTTAATGTGTGACACCGGGGTTTTATCTACAGCATTGGGCAACAGATTTTGCCATGTGCGACTGTCATTAGGGCCAACTTCCCTATATAAACAAACCGATCTAATCTTTGTGGACACCCCAAGGTTATTAAGTCCCTTGATCAGTTAAGGCGCACTACAGACTAGCAGTAGGCTATTTAGGAGTGGCATATGGTTCACTGATGAGTGAAGTTCTAAACTAAACATCTTAATCAACCATGCAACACCTCCTCTGCTCAGCACTGTGAAGTGACAATCCTGTGGTCAGCGTGCAAAAGAAAAAAAAACAGAAGTAGGCTATGTTTTAAAATGAGAACTTATTTCAGTGGTTGACCAACAACTGATATCTCACTTACCAGAGAAGAGAACAACAGTTACTTTGCCTGTTGACCCATTTTCATAGACACAAAAACAGAATCCAAGCAAACATCTCTTCAAAGATTGTATTTAGATATTATTTTCCATTTTATTCTTTGTACAAAAATATGAACATTTGTAAAAATGATGGAATTAGAAAACAAGTAATAGACGAAAGATTAAGAATATAAAGTAATAAATACACCAAATATGTTGAAAGCAAAACCTCACTTGTTGATCACATCAAAGACTGTTCCATACCCTAAAAACATGAATACTACTTTATAGTTACTATATTAGATGTATGTGAGATAACAGAGGGACTCTTGCACACATCAGGGTTTTCATGCAGAAGATATAATTTCCTCATAGGGCTCTGAAAGAGAGTACACAAGATCAGCATGAACAAACTTCCTGTTGAGTGTCACTTTTAAGCTGAAATGACCCCCATTAGTAATCTTTCACTCAACCTAACACATTTCATGACTTTAGTGAGGGTTTTTTCATGATGTAGACTGTGATATGCATCTATGTTTAAAAATGACATTCAACTAACAGATGGCGTTACGTATACTGTATCCTTATACCTGTCCAGGTTCGATAAACAGGAAGCTTGAGTGCAGGGTGTGTGATCTCCACGCAGACTCTTAAACGCGCTCTCTCGTTTTCTCTCGCACTCCTCCTCAAGTTGACTCTGTTGATGTGCAGCGCGCCCGGGTCTTCCTCACGTTCTTTGTCACTGTCATCATCCACTTCCAACTTTGTTTCCTCATCCCTGTGAATGTTATTTTCTCCGTCCACTTTTTCATCGATGTAGTCTATTCCTTCGGCATCCGGGTCTGTGACAGCAGCTTTTGTTTCTGTAAAGTAACACCAGACAAAACTGAAAACAACACCAACACTCATAAAGTGGTTTATACAGAAATAAAATGTAAAACTTTGTTTACTTTTTTTCTGTAAGAGAAAAAAGGAATACTGTATTGGCCAGTTTGCACAAGGTTGTATGTAATTTATCTTTCTGCATATCCGAGGTGCATCAGAGGGCCATAGTGCTGGGTATGCAACACCAACTAATTAGCAAAAAGGTACTTCAGAAGTAAGGGTTAATTAAGGGTCAATTAAGATCTTATTGTAAATCGAGTTTTCACACCTTACAAGTATACATACTAAATAAAACTCTACCTTCTGGATATGTTTTAAAGGATAATCCAGCAATTTAAAATTGCACTTCAATAAAACTGCGTTGCAAGAGACAGATCAACGAAACAACGATAAAAATGTATACCGCAGAGGCTGGGATATTCTGACTTTTTGTACAGAATGTGGTTCAATCTCCATTAAATACTGTATATGCTGGCTCCTACACTTCCCATGATGCAACAGCAACAGCATGTTTAGATGCTACCCACCAAGTAAATGTTATTTAAACCCCACGCTTTCCATTAAAAACTTGTAGACTTTGAAAAGAAGCCCAATAATACCCTGCTGACGTCACCAGGGATATTTTCCCAGACTTAAGCGAACAGGATCTGTAGTTGCATGTTTATCTTAAAACTAAGCTTTTCTGAAATGTTACTCACAAATGTTACAGTAAGACATTTGTTTATTTTAGACCCTCTATAGAAAGAAAAAGTGTCATCATGTTTATTTTTTAGAAGGACTAATGGAAAATACATGACTAGCGGAGCAGAGGGTGCCTAGTAAAATACCTTCTGAACTCTCTACCATTCTTTAAAACATGATATATGCATATATTGTAATGACAAGTACTTATTGCATGTCCATTCTTCTGTCTCCCCAGCTGTTTGTTATTCTGACTTGGCAGACTTGTGGACCTCTCCAGGGCGCACACACTTTTCAGCTCCCTCTGTCCGTCGTCTCCTATCTCCTCTGTCTCATTGGACACCAGTGGTGAAAGAGTGGATCCTCCCGCTGCCCAGAGTAACTTGACCTTGGGGTGACCTCCCTTCAACAGGAGAGAGAACACACCAACTCCTTCACTGCTCCAACAGACCGACATCGATGGAGGAATGGAGGGAGCAACTAAGGGAAAACAAACAGAGAGTGTAAGTGATTGAAAACACATAAAAGCAGGTGCATTTATTGTTATTTACCTTTGGTTCATATATTGTAAGAATAGCTTTCATAGTGTAAGGATAATATCATGATTCATACCCATGTCAACATTTCTCCAGTGTTTCTCAACAGGCTCGAGTAGGGAACAGTGCTCCACTCTACAAACAACCCCTCCTCCTATCTCCTTTTTCTCGTGATTTGTTGTCCTTCTCTTTAGAGTGGCTGTGGCCCTGTAGAGTCTGGAATCTGGGGCCTGTATGGGGCCCCACATCTCTCCTCCCTCTATCACCTCATCCTCTCTGTCATCTTGCTCTCCGTCTCTGAGCTTCAGCCAGGTGACTGATATGTTTGGAGGATGGAAATCTGTGATTTCACATGCCAGGGTCAAAGTCTGATCAGGGGAAGAAGTGGAGCTGACGATTTCGGATACACACGGCTTCTTGATGAAGCCTGTTTGGAATAAAGTGGAGATTTAAGCATTCATTTTTATTTATATAACATATACTGTTCAGTTTCATGTCTTTTCTTCGACTCTTTCTTACCTCTGGTCTCACGGGTGACCGGCTGCTTCAGGGTAATGTGGTGGACACTCACCCACACTTTAGTGCCTTCCTTTTCCAGTTCACTCCGGGGCAGTTTACACTGGCTGAAGGCTGAAAATAAGCCTTCAGAATTGGGATGAGGGGAGGACGAGGCCTGGGAAGCCACAGGGCTCAGCTCACTCCCCTGGCAGAACCAGCGGAAGGTAATGACATCCGGATGGAAATGTGTTGCCCGTACTGTCAGGCTAATGACATCTGGAAGAAATTGAAGAGATGTTGCGTCTCACAACCTCAAAGGTTTTACATGTATTGTACTACAATAAAAAGACAGCCAGTTTGCCTTACCGGAGTCATTTGGTGTCTCTGCCAGCTGGATTTCTGATACTTCTGGAGCAGCTAAACGACAACATTTACAAACATTTCTATTGTGCCAATTGAAAAAAATCCTAGAAAAGCAGAGGTAATGTGAATAAGTGAAAATATTTTCTTACACAGAATTGTAAACTTCTCCGACACCCTCTCCACCGCAATCTTATCTTTGCCCATGTAGGACACCTGACACTTAAACACTGCCCCCTTGTGGATAGATAACTGGGGGATGAATGTGAGGGAGGAGATCAGCTGTTGAGTGCCACCTCCAGATAACTGCAGCGGCCCCTGAGTGTGCAGCTTGTAGTAACCCTTCTCGTCTCTGGAGGGCAGCAGAGGACCTTTCTCTGACACTGGGGAGGTGAGCGTTAGACCATATGGGAGATGGATGGTGGTTAGGGTGTTATAGAGGCAGTTAAAGTTAGCTTTGGAGGTTCCTATGTGCATAAGGTTGCAAATTGTTAGCAGAATTAAGTGTAAAAGAGAAAACATGGTACATTTTAGGAGTAGTTGGATGTAAATAAAAGATATTTCATGTGCCATCATTCACGTTAATGTATTATTATGAGATCAATCCAAACACATTTTATTTCCTGTCTTAACCAACATATAGCCCCACCTCCTCCCTTTTACTTCCTCTTCAGTAGCTTTAAAGAAATAGTCTGACATACATTAGGAACTAAGGACAAATATGCAAAAAATATTGTGATTAAAGACCAAGGTCATAGCGGTCAAAGAATTCGTAACTGCTAGTTATGTGGATTTGTTTAAGCTTTCCTACCTGTGAGTGAAGTGTCAGAGATAGGGGTGTCATTGAGGAACCATGCAGTCTGGACTCGGTCCACCCTCCTGCCCTCAATGCTCACTGACACCCTGCCCTTTCGACCAACAATCACGCGTGGAGGCAGGATGATCCCTGAAACACTCAGAGACTTCAGTTTCTCTGAGTGAGGGGAGAAAGAATTGAGACATTGTTCCCAAACGTTTGTGATGAGGGTCACAAATATATAATTGCAAGGGAGGTTCTGACTTACCATCCCTTCTTCTCCAAGAGAAGCCAAAGCAGAGGAGGAAGACCAGCACCACAGAAATACACATCATAGCAACAGATGCTTTGGCTGATTTAGTCAAAACTAGAGGCTCATCTGAGAGGAAACAGATTAAATTTCAAGTATGAAGAACAGGATGCACACATTGCGCACAATACTGCAACTTTCTCCAAACTCTAAAAGTAGGATAGTAGTAGTTCTCAGACTTTGCTCCAAACCAGCTTCAGATTTCAGGGGCTTTAACATCAAACCATCATTCAAACTGAAGAAAACCCCAGTGACTCGTATCTTGTCTTTATGGGTCATGTCAAATATTCAAGTTCAAATCGTACCTTGGGGATCCAGTTTCTCTAGGAACACTGAGCCACTAGCCGGGTGCACCACCCCAGGTTGGTTTACTGTGCACTCCACCTTTCCACCTTGCTCTCTCTGCTCGGGGCTCAAAGTATAATAGCGTCTGGTTCTGTAGGTCCCATCTGGGTTCTGCTCAGTGGCAGGGAGCTCAGGAACGACTGTGCCATTTTGAAGCCAGGACACAGACACTTCCTCTGGGTAGAAACTCTCCAC